AGCTTTCTTTCGTTATCTTCTGGCCTCTGTTATTTCTAATGAGAAGTCACTGGCCTTTTAAATTATTACTCTTCTGTATGTAAAGTGTCATTTTTTCTGGCTTCTTCCATGATTTTATCTTTGGTTTTCAGCAGTTTATAACGAGGATGTGCTTGGGTGTGGTTTTTGTTGTATTGATCATATTTGGGCTTCACTGAACCTCTTGAATCTGTAAATGTATGTCCTTGACCATTATTTCTTCAGATATTTTTTCCGCTCCATTTTCTCTCTTCTAAAACTCCAGTTCCATGTATGTTAAATCTTTTGATAGTGTCCTTCAGGTTCCAGGGGCTCTGTTCTTTTTCTGTTTTCCCCCAGTCTTTTTTCTCTAAGTTCTTCAGATTGGATAATTTTTATTGATTTATCTTCAATTTTCCTGACTCTTCTCTCATCTCCATCCCACTGATCGTCCAATCCTGTGGAGATTTTATTTCAGATATTTTATTTTTCATTAGGAATTTTCATTTGGCTCTTTTTTATACCTTTAGTTTCTCTGCTGGTGTTTCCTATCTTTTCATTAACTATGACCAAATTTTCCTTTATGTCTTTGAATATAATAATAGCTCTTCAAAGTCCTTGCTTGCTAATTACAACTTCTGAGTCACCATTGGAGTCAGCTTCCTTTAGATTTCTTTTCCTCTTGAAAATGGATTACATTTTAATGTTTATTTGTACATCAAGTGATTTTAGATTATGTTGTGGACATTGTGACTGATAGGTTGCAGAAACTCTGGATTCAGTATTATTCCTCTGAAGAGTGGTTGGTTGGTTGGTTGGTTGGTTGGTTGGTTGGTTTTAGCAGGCAGCTAACTTGGCAGGTCTCACATTGCAAACTCCCTCCATTCTGTGAGCTCGAATCCCGATTCAGCTAAGTTCAGCCTCAGCTGGGCTGCCTGGAGCCTGCCCTGTATGTGCATAGTACAGGGGTCAGCTAGTGATTCAGGCAGAATTTATACTCAGAATTTGAGGTACCCCTCCGTGGCTTTCTTCTTCCTGGGATTTCCCCCCTCACTTTCCACCAGCTGTGGTGACCCAAATTCAGTCCTCTGGCTCTTCAAACCAGTAAGACGGGGGCTGTCTTTCTGGCTAGTGGCCATTAAACTGGGGACTCACCCAGTGCCGTTCCTTTCCTCCCAGTGGCAGCTTCCTCCAGAGCCTAACTGCTTTGTGCTGTCACAGGGCTGTTTCTTCTGTCCTAGTCCATAGTTGCTGTCTGCAAGAGGATTGGTCAAATAGGAGCTTCTCGAACTTGCCAGAAATACAAAGAGGTCACCGTTCTAAAGTAAGATTTTAGTAGAAATAACTTTTTTTCAAATAATTTTGAGATGTGTAACACCATAACCAAACAGAAGTGCGTTATTTCCTGCAGTTTGAGATACGTAATAAGTGAAGAGAGATGCAGTTTTGTATTCGTGAAGCGGTATGTTCGGTCTGCTGTGCGTGTTTATAAGAGAAGAAGGAGGGAGGCGTGTGCTGCAACACTGGTCACTGCCCACTGCAGAGGTGCCGTCCCAGCTTTGTCTCAAGCCTTGTTTTCTACAAAGATACCAAGGGGGGTTGTTGAAGGGTCAGCTCCATTCCTTTGTGGTGAGGCGATGTTGGGTACTTAGAAGAGATCGTGTTTCAAAGCTGGCATTCCCATGAACTTGCCAGAACAAGCCATTTCCCTCGTGGCTTTTTTGTTCATCCAGTTTCTTGCTGCTCTTTCTCTGGATGTTTTTCAAATTAGCCTAAGTAGCTATGAATCCAGACTGATTTTCTGTCCAAAGCAAATTTTGTGATGTCATCATAAAATTATTATGTTTAGGTGATCAAAGTCCAATCTTTTTTAAAAAAGTTTTTCAAGCATAGAAGAAATGTAGTTTCGAAGAAAAGAATAGTATTACTATAATCATTCTCAGGAAAAAATGCTACAGAAATGAAATACATTTAAAAAAAATAAGGCAGGTAAAAGTACAGAACTAGATAGCATTTACTTAAAAGTCTTACTGGTTTTTTTCACCTACTTTATTTCTCCATCCTAACAGTGGATAGGACAGGCAGTATCATTCTCATTTATGAAGGAGGACACAAGTTGAAATGGGCCCAGCTGCCCAGCTCAGAAGGTGCTGCTCATAGCTGGTGCCCTTTCTGCTGGGACAGCGGGAACAGCGGGTCACCCACTTGGACTGATCGCCCCTGTCTACTCTAAATCTTGTCCATGTTGGAGATTTTCTTCTGAATCTTAGCTTGGTACTGGAAATGAAGACACTATTAGACCACTTTATTGCTCTCCATGAAAATACCTTAGAAGTAAGATCACATCTTGTTGCTCCAGAACGGAAATTTAATGAGCCCTCTCCATCAGCTTGCGGAGCCCGGGAGACCAGGTTCCACAGGGAGTGCCACAGGCCGGGAAGGGTCAACGCGTGCTTGCAAGTTTTTTTGTCCTTTACTGTGTGAATTGATTACTTTGATGACTTTTTCTCCTAAAGTGAGGGAAGTAGTGATAAAAAATAAAACTAACGTTAAATAAATACTCCTTTCCCCTCTTCCCAGTTCTCTTCCTAGATGGGGCTCGTGGATAAACAAAGAATGATTCTTACATGTTCTAACGTTTGTTAAATGAAAAGTCTTATGAGCTCTTATAGTTTTTTCTGTGGTGAGTTTGAGACTTAGAAACCACCATCCCAGGAAGAAGCATGAGGGCTCATTGCCAGTTCACATTAGGCAGCTAAAAGCTTTCAAACAGAATGTATTGCTACTAAAAATACTTGGACTTTGGGAAAATATGTTTAAATTTGACCTCCTTGACACTCTGCACATTCCAGTGTTTTGCTCTGGGTTCCTCAGCAGCTGTAAAGAGGAAAGTTCAGAACTGTCTCCATGGGCACTCTTACACCATCTATGGAAGAGCCTTCCCATCGTAAAAACAGATACTCCAGGAGTTATTTATGTTCTGCACTACTGTGAGCAACAAGTTATGCTTTCTCCACAGCGTTTTGACATGTTAGTTTTTGGTATGATACTGAGGAACTCGCTTCCCGGTTACCCCTGCGTTCCATGTTCAGTGGTAGCAGGTGATGAAGGGCCGAGAGGGAGGCTTCAGACAGTGAATCAGTGGGTCAGAGGACAGTGAGTGTGGGCGGAGGGTCAGGGCAGGTGGAGCCCAAGAGGGTCTCCTTATGCAAGGGCCCTCCCATGACCTATCTGGAGGTGTTTGTGGGGAGCAGTAACCTTCAGGTCAGGGTGGCCCAGTTCACAAAACAGCCCATGTGAAATAAATTGCGTTCGTGAGACCTATTTAAAATAAGTCCCATTGCCTTAAAGAACCCGTCACGCTTGGCCTCCTCATAGCTTGCCTTTGTTTTAATGATTTGAAGAAGTTAGAAATAAGGATGATTTTTTTTACTTGATTTTTTTCCTGATTGTTATGGACTTTTCAGTTGTTTAAAACTACGCAATTTTTGGAAATTCTGACTTGGAGTCTGTTACTTGTTTTGAGGGCCAGGTGATTGAGAGCGGGGCGCTGAGAAGCTCCTAATCGGAGGCAGCCCTCTCTCAGGCCAGGGGTCTGTCTGAACCCCTGCTCCCAGCGGCCACCCTCCCGGCAGCCTGCACCCGTCCCCTGTGAGGCATGGGGAGGTGGTGACCGGTCTTCCTCACCAGCCAGTGCACGTGCTCGGCTGATGGTGGCTTCGCTCTCCTGTCATCACTAAGGCAGACTGTGGTCCGGGGTCTGTGCTAGTTCTGGGCGCGTGGAAAGCGGCAGCTCTCAGCCCATTGTGGGCAAAGGCCAAGCAAACAGGCTGTCGCACGCACTTGACCTGTGAATCGTGGGACCTGGGGCCAGGTTCCCAACAGCGCTGGCTCAGCGTGCATCTGGCCCGCCTCAAGGGTGCCGCCGGAGCCTGCACTGTTGTTAAAGTGTTGTGCTGTTCACTCAGCCATGGCCGTCTAGACGGAGTGAGAAGAAGAACGAGATCATATTTTGAGGAGGGGGTGGCTTTTCTTTAAAGTGCTAATGTGGTCATGGAGGGAAACGTTCCCTTTCCTTAAAAAACAAAACAAAACAAAACTCCCATCTGTAGTAAGGGCTTGCTGACTCAGGGCAGTTACAAGTTGAATTCTGTGTGTCCTCTGCTGCTGTAAATTGCTTGAGTGCAGCTGCGTGAGAAACAGCCTGCCCTCGCCTCCAGGCAGCAGGAATGTCTCCTGGAAACAGTCGAGCCGAGCCGGATTCCCAGATTAGAAAGAAAGGCTCTGGGGCCGCTGACCTCACTCTCTCATGAGCTGCTGGCGCTGGGAGGTTCTCTGCTGCCCTCCACCAGGAGGCTGGGACTGGGAAGCCCCAGGACGCGGCGGCGGGGCGGCGGGCGGGCGGGCAGCAGAGGGCGGTGGCCGCTCCCGCGATGGCCCAGAGCCCAGGTGCGGAGCCCTGAGCGGCCCGGCGGGTAAGTAGCCGCGTGACCCGGTGTGGAGCTGCCAGTTTCAAGCCGGCAGGAGTTTCAGAAGTGCTTGTAGATACTGTTGCATTTCCTTCCTTCCTGATGAGGCAAAGTGCCGGTTAAAGTGAAAGTTGGTAGGAGGTCATGAGCAGTGTGGGGAGCGCTGGGCCGCATGGCTGTTTGGTCGGTTGTTGTGCTGCTGTAGTGGCACTGTGAGGGCTGGGTCTGTGCTGTGTGGAGCGCTGCTCGGGATCTGCTCGGGGGAACTCTGCTGCTTAAAGGAAACTGGCGTTCAGACCATCCATCCTGGCCCCCCCCCCCCCCGTTGGTTTCCCAGCTCCTCCTTGTGTTGCCAGCTGCCCTTCCCTTACCTGAGGCTGTGCCCCTTGCATCAAGGCCATTCTGGAATCCTTTTGTGAAGTTAGAAACCCGATCCTCTTTCCCGCGGGGCTCCTCGGGTCGTCAGGGTGGGGTCTGGTGTGTGCGAGCTCCCCCCCGTGTCAGCTCTCCTTACATACTGTGTTGTCTCTCTAGCACAATCCTGGAGGAAGAGAAGGTCCAGCAAGAAGAACGGATGAGGATGGAGTCCAGAAGGCAGGTCACAGTGTCCTGGGACTCTGGAGGGTCCGACGAAGCACCACCCAAGGTAGCAAAGGCCCCCAGCCCATCTGGCATCATGCCTGCTAACTTGTGCGGTTTATGCTGTAGGCAGCAGCTGCCTGTGGGGAGAAAACCAAATAGCGGGTTATTCTAAGAGGAATCACTGCAACTTCTGTTCCTTGTTCGCCCCGCCGCATACCACCCCAACGTGCACCCGGTTCCCTAATTTGCGTTGCAGCTCTGAGCTGTTCGAAATCATGAGTGATTGGATTAGGCCTGACCTTCCAATCCCCCCCACCCCCCGCCACCGCCCCCATCATCAGACTTAACTGAGCACGCCCTGCTCGGGGAGGTTTCTCTCTGCTGGTGTCAGGGACCTTCCTGATGACCAGACAGACTATAACCAAGCCGAGAATGCTTTACGTTTTGCTTTATTTTGAAAGGAGTCAGCTTCCACCTGACCCGGTCCTTTTGGGTTTGGTTTGGTTTGGTTTTGCTGAGAACCTGGTGCACATTTTCTGCCTTTCCTCATCTGTGGCGGTGGCTGGGTTGTCAGCGTGGGGAGGTCTGCCAGCAGCACCCCAGCCCTGCCCTGCGTCCTCCTGGCCTTCCGCAGGCGGCCAGAGCCTTCCCCTCTTGTTCAGCTGGGCTGGAGCTGGACACAGTTGGCCCTTAAACACTCTCCTCAGATCAGGATTCTTTGTTCTCCTTTTGCTTTTGACAGGATAGTATTTTCACACAGTGGCTTACTTGCCATGAATAATCCAGTTCAGATCATTTTCTGGATGGTAAATAGATGATAGGCTTTTTTGCAGTTAATAGTTACCTGCTACTTGATATTTGATTAGCTAAAAATATATTACAGGAACTATGACAATTCCTTACTTCATTGTCTTTTTGAAAAATGTTCAGAAATCTGTTCACAAAAAGTGCTATTTAAATATTGTACCCATTTTTTTTATCACGATGCCTGAAATCTGTTTTCTCGGCCATTGTTTTAAACTATTACAGTAAATATTATTACACATTGAAAGTGAACACAGGTGACTGACCCTGTTCCTCAGAATTTTAGAGATGAAGGGTTCTGTAGTCTGGCTTCCTCCACCAGTGGGAAAGCTGAGGCCCAGAGAAGGAGGAGGGCCTGTGGTCCGTTCTGTCGGTGTTACTATGGGCTGGTTCGTGCTGAGACCACAACGTTTCTCTGTCTCTCCTCGTGTTACAACAACGACGTCCCGAGCTACCCCCTGAAAAGCTGTGCACCCCAGCATCTGCGGCCTCCACCTTGTACACGGGTGTGCCCGTTTCCTCACTGACTACTGTGGAAGGGTGCAGCACCGGAGAGCCTTGAAGTTAATTTCTCAGGCCTGGAAACCAGGTGGATCTGTTCACAGGTGGCTCTGATGACCAGGTGGATTATCTGCCTGTTCCCAGCCTCACTTTCCTCATCTGTGAAGTGAGGGTACTAGTGTTCCCCACCTCTTAGGGGTGTTGTGAAGACCAAATGAGATAATGCATTCACAGCACTTTTTTTAGTCACAGGAGTGTAAGGAGCTCTACATAGTTGGTGATTGGCACAAATGATGTGCCAATGCTGTGCACAGCTTTCCCCTAAAACTCACAGAATTAACCCTTTCCATCCAAACATGATTACGTATCTCAATCTGTATGATTTTTAATAATTTTCATGTGGCTGAGTTTTGAAGGCTGTGATATTAAGTTCATGGGCGGAGATGGAGTGGTTAGGCTTCTTTGTTTACAGAGCAAAGGTGAGTTCTGCTTAAATTTTTAAATATCCTCACATTTCTTTCTTTAGGATGTTTTCAACGTGTATATTTTAAGACTCTTTTCTGTAGTCAGAGATGGTTCTACCCTTCAGAGTGGGTCAGCAGACTATACCCCACTGCCTGTTTCTGTTGATGAACATTTTATTGCATGAACTGCCCCCTTGGCTTGTGTGTTGTCCATGGCTGGGTACCCCCTACACAGACGGACTTGAGTGGTTCCGTTACAGTATGGCTCAAAAAGATGAAAATATTTACTCTTTGGGAATTCCCTGGCGGTCCAGTGGTTAGGACTTTCCCCTAACTGAGAACTGAGAACCCCCTTGGCTTTCACTGCTGAGGGTGCAGGTTCAATCCCTGGTCAGGGAACTGAGATCCCACAAGCTGCACGGCGCAACCAAATAAATAACATATTTACTCTTTGATCCCGAATTAAAAGGTTGGCAGCCCCCAGATTTAAAAAAAAGGTTTTTTTAATTAATTAATTTATTTTTGGCTGCATTGGTCTTCGTTGCTGTGTGCGGGCTTTCTCTAGTTGTGGCGAGCAGGGGCTACTCTTCCTTGCGGTGTGCAGGCTTTACATTGCGGTGGCTTCTCTTGTTGTGGAGCACGGACTCTAGGCGCACGGGCTTCAGTAGATGCGGCATGTGGGCTCAGTAGTTGTGACTTGCAGGCTCTAGAGCGCAGGCTCAGTAGTTGTGGCGCACGGGCTTAGTTGCTCCGCGGCACGTGGGATCTTCCCGGACAAGGGCTCAAACCCGTGTCGCCTGCATTGGCAGGTGGATTCTTAACCACTGCGCCACCAGGGAAGTCCCCAGATTAAATTTTTAATGGATAGAGGGAATTCCCTGGCAGTCCAGTGGTTAGGACTCAGGTCTTCCATTGCCAAGGGCCCAGGCTCAATCTCTGGTCAGGGAACTGAGACCCCACTAAGATCCCACAAGCTGCGCAGTGTGGCCAAAAAAAAAAAAAAAAAAAAAAAATTTAATGGGTAGAAGATCACCTACATTAGTATATATATGCAGATGCTCGATGTTTTCATTTCTAATAATGTAAATATTGGTAGATATATTCCAGATAAGTAAAGGCTTGTGGAGTCCTCAGTAATTTCTGAGAACGTAAAGGCGTCCTGAGAATAGCTGCCTCAGCATAGTGTTTCTCAGCCCTGATCAGACCCAGCATTCCATTTATATAAAAAAATATTTTATAATGCCCCGTTTACTAATCCTGAAATAAAATACATAGGTTATAAAATGACTTAATAATTTCAAGATACCAACACAGCCAAGAGACTGCGAACTGTACAAGAGAAATAAAAGTAACTTCTAATAGCATTATGCACACACCTGTATAAAATACTCGGGTATAATTACACTGGGAGGTGCGGTGGAGGAGCCAGGTGCCCACACCTGTGTGTGGTAGGCTCGCCCTGGATACAGCAGCTACACACGCAGACCCTGCAGCCACAACTGACTGTGGATCTCATTCGTCTTGATGATGTGATTTTCTAGAAGGGTGAAGAATCTTGGTAAAGTTCAAACGAAACAAAGTAAAATTGTCCATCAGTATTCACAGTAGTTGCTCTTCTGGAAAGTTCAGTGTCTGATAAACTATGCAAAATACCATTTGTGTTTGTATGTCAGACGGAGTTGGTTCTCGGTTCAGACTACGGGGCTCCTTGTTGTTGTTTTACCTGTGTAAGGTGGAGAAAGACCTGAACGTGGCACAGGCCCTGCTGTGCAGCCCCGCTGTCCCTCCCACCTGCCTGCCACCCTCAGTGCCGGGCCCTGCAGGCAGCAGGAGCGCCCTCTCGGTACCCTGGGCCCCCATCGGGGGCACTGCCATCCAGCTGAGGACCACGAGTGTAGGATGTGTTGGGTTTTCCTTTTTCTTCTTCCTCACTTGGGAGGCTTTCGACAAAAACTCCCCCAGCTCCATCGTTTGCTTCATGAAAATCCAAGTTTCTGTCTTCGAGGAGGAGATGCAATCAGCCTGCTAAACCTTGTACTTAATAGCAGGTGACACGTCTGGATACCTCAGCCCAGCTCAGCTCATTCGATCTTTGTGGCAGCCCTGTCCCCACCTCATTCTTGAAGGCACAGTGGGCAAGTTGCCCCGGCCCGGCAGTGGCCATTTCCTGGCCTGCCCTCTTGGCCGCCACGCTGAGTCCGTACTTGTAGAGAAGGAAAACAGAACTGTTAGCAGTACGTCCGTGCTCTCCGCAGCGGGTGGCTAACAGAGTTCCATTTTGTGGTATTCTTGGTGCAGTAGTTTCGTCTTCTGTAAGACATGTTTTCATATTTTTATCTGTTATCTTTATTCTGAAATGGAACCTTACAAGTGTTACCGTTTGCTACCCATGTAAGTATTTGAGCCACTGGAGGATGTTCTGTGGAGATTTTGCCGTCTTTGATCTTTCCTTTTGTAATTCCCCTTTTCTTTGGTGAGTCACAGTGTGCTTGTCATAGAGTAGCAGCACAGCACAGCAGACTCTGGAGGTGGGCAGTTCTGCCATTACCAGCTGTGCAGCCTGTTTGCATCACCTGACCTCTCTGAGCCTCTGTTTTATCCTCTGTAAAATGAGGTGATAATACTTCCTTGTACCATTGCTCTCAGACTTCTCAGATTGTACATACGACACCTAGCTCTACACGTAGGACACACTGAGTAAAAGTTTTGTATTTGGGGTTTTTTTTTGAGTAAAAGTTTTTTATTTTTGCCTGTGTTACTTAACCTGCCACCTCCAAAATGTAAGCCAGCAGACACAACTGTCCACCTGTCAGATAGCTGTGAATACTGTCCTAATTCCTGGGTCTGCACCCTCCCATACTTGGACTCCAGGAAGCCTTTGCCACACGACCATTGTAATGCATACATATTAACGCACACCTTTCAAACGGCTGTTGCCACTGAAATGTCAGAGGACAGAGATAGTCAGACATTTTTGCCTCTTCCTAACCACTTGTTCAAGTGAAACCTTTAAAAATATAAATCTGAAGAGTAGTCCCTAAGGGCTTCATGGAACAAAATTGCCACCCTAGCACACGAGCAAAGCCCGTGACTCCCCCTTCATGCCCTTCCCTCTTTCGGGGGTCTTGGGGGTCCGTCCTCACGTTTAGTTAAGTTTGGAGTAGACTGCACCCGGGGGCTGAAATGCGACAGGGCTAAAGGGGTGGGGGAGGCTTCCCACCCTCAGAGGCTTAACAGGCCCGCACAGCAGGGCGGGAGCAAGTGCAGGGGTAGCTGCAGTCCACGTGCTCGGAGGAGAGCAGGGGATATGCTTCTGTGTCAGGAGGGAGAGGGAGGGGTGACACGGGAGACCCGGGACAGGAGGCGGCACGCATTCCAGGCAGAGGGGGGTGACACTGCTTCGAGACTCAGACTCACTCAGAACTTAGCCAAAGTGAAGTGTGTGTTCATCCAGGACCACCTGTGTCCCCGGGAAAGCGACACAGGCACTTCCTCCCCTGGGCTCGCTGGGCCCCAAGTCTATTTCCTTCAAGTCTGGTCTTTATTCGCCTGGAGAGCCCTGAGTTTCCACTTTGTTAAATCCCTCAGGTTTAGGAGACTTTATTGACTTCATCTTCCGTTTCAGACTAGACCGTTCTTTTTGCTCTGAACTTTAAATTCACGTGTCAAACAATGAGGATTTTAGAGCTGGAAGTGACTTCGGGGCCCCTCCAAGTCAACCCAGTTCTTTAGATGAGGAAATGGGATCCGGCTGGTTCACCCACGTGCTCCCAGCCGGTGAGGAGCAGAAAGGAAAGCCTCCAGGTTTGCATTTCCGTGATGCTGAATGGTATTGAGCATCTTCTTATGTGCTTATTGGCCATTGGTGTATCTTCTTTGGGTCTACTCAGACCTTTTGCACACTGTTTACTTAGATTATTTGTCACTTTCTTGTTGAAGTTGTTAGAGTTCTTTCTATATTCTGGATATGAATCTTATCAGATAGATGATTTGCAGATACTTTCTTCCATTCACGGTTGTCTTTTCACTTCCTTGATGTTGTCATTTGCAACACAGAACTTCTAATTTTGATGCAGTCCAGTTTATCTTCTCTTTTCTTTTGTTGACAGAGCTTTCGGCGTCCTAAGAAACCGTGGCCTAACCCAGAGGGTCACAAAGATTTACTCCTGCGTTTTCTTCTAAGAGTTTTATCGTTTTAGCTCTCACGTTTGAGTTAATTTCTATGTATGTTGTGAGGAAGGGGGGGGGTCCAGCTTCATTTTTCGCATGTGGATATCCTGTTGTCCCAGCATTATTTGTTGAAAAGACCCCATGGAAACGTCTTCACACCCTTTATCATTCTTTCCAGCTAAGCTCTTATAGAAAATTATCTTTTTCTATTCTTTTTAATAAAATGCGGATTTACGAAAATAATCAGGATACTTATTCATGTGATGCTCTGTTGATCTGTTCACAGCCCAGCAGACCTGGTTATCCTAGTCCGAGGTCCAGCGAAGGGTTTCATCCCAGCCCACAGCACATGGTACAGACCAATCACTACCAGGTATACCGTTCATGACTGTCAAAAGATGTGTTATTTTATTCTTCAGCACATTTGGGGGTGGGGAAGGATACATTGTATATATTTATAAATTAAAACATTCATTTTTCTCATCGAACAAATAAATGATTCTCTCCCAAGCCCCACGTTTCCTTACCTTGTAAATAAGAACAGCTATGGGACATTTCCTGTAGGCCTTTTCAGCTTGAAATGCTCGTTTGATCCTTTCACGTCATTGGTGTCGTATAGGAAACTGCCTTAGATCATTTGAAATCTCTTTGTTGTGAAAATTCCTAGAAGTTCTCTGGCAGTGATATATCTCTTCTGACCAGAAATAGTCGCTGATACAGCATTTTATGTTTAGTAGAGTTTTTTTTTTTTTAGTAGAGTTTTTTATTAAAATATTTTCATTCAAATAAGGTGTGAGAACTACCTGTACATCTTATTTGAAAGTTTAGTAATTACATATTGTCAGTATGGGGTTTTGGTATGAATCAGTGCCTAGAGACCTAACAGATGCTTGGAAGCTTTGCTGAAGGGAATTTGGAATATGGATGTGGCTGTGCTTTATCTCATTTGAAAAGTAGCTGCCAGCCCTGGCTGCCCAGAACCAGCCTAATGAGTTAGGGAAACAGATACTGATGCCTTGTCTCTCTTTCTCTTGATGGAGGGAGAACCATGTAAAGAAATTCCTCTCACTTTCCTTCTGCCTTGAAATTTTTCTCCATGTCCAGCTCAATGTTTTTCTCTGCCTTTGAGATCATTGGTAGACTGTGAAGGCCTGCCTTCTGTCACCATCCACGCTGGTTCACTAGAGGACAAGCATTTGGGGGTCTTGTTTGTTCTTTGCTGGTGGAGTAGTAGTGAGTTGGGCAGGAAAGGGACTTGTAGAGAGATGGCTTAACCATGTTTATGGCCCATTGCTTTTACATCCGAGGATGGTCTGCTCTCAGCACTGTAATAAGTGTAGAATTCCAAAGTGAAGAATTTCTGGTTTCCTAGTGTCTGTTTGCACTAGCTGTCGACTGTGGCCATAACAGACCGCCTTTCTCGAGGCTGCAGTGGAGTCCATTTCCTCGCCTTTACCGGCTTCTAGAGGCACCTGCGTTCCTTGGCTCGTGGCCCGTTCCTCCACTTCAAAGCCCAAGTATCTCTCTGACTGTTCTTCAGTAGCCACACCCCCTTTCTCTCCCCTCTGCTTCCCTCTTGCATTTTTAGGGACGCTTATGATCACGTTGGGTCCACTCAGATCTTCCAGGTTAATCTCCCCACCTAATGATTCCTAATTGATAATCACATCTGCACAGTCCCTTTGGCATGTAAGCTACCATATTCACACAGGTCCCAGGGATTAGGGCGTGGACGAGCTTGAGGAGCCGTTATTCTGCTGCCACATTATTCTCTATAATCTCAGTTACTTCCTTTCACGTGGAAAGCAGAACTGTGCAGAAGTCGTACTGCGTCAGACCCTGACCTGGCCGCTTCACTCACCCGCAGGTCTCTGGCTACCCTGGCTCACATGGAATCACAGCCGTGGCTGGCAGCATCTACCCAGGTCAGGCATCTCTTTTGGACCAAACGGATTCGTGGAATCACAGACCACAGGAGATATCGATGTGGCAGCCCAACGTGGAGGTAAATTGGATGTTCTTGGGCTTTGCTTTGTTAACTGATGAGGCTGTGCCCAAGGTACAGGATTTCTAAATCCTGAGATGTGTCAATTTAGATGCCCTCATTCTAAGATCAGGTGCTCTCTGGGTCTGAGAATCTTCACTCAACGATGGAGAGATGCTGCCATCATTAGCCCATTCATTTGAAAAGCAGGGCCTACATGAGGCCAAGGAACAGACAGCCTCCAGCTCTGCGGACCGTGTGAATTTTTACTGAATTTTCTTGGTAAAACCAAGAACCACTCCTATAATATTAAAAATCATTTCTTTGAATCCAAGAACATCTGTAGTTGTCTGCTCTTAAGCTCTTTTCCTTGGAGTGCACGTGCTTTATACTCTGTACTATGCGTGTGTCGTATTTAATCCTCCTCCCATTATTTTACGTCCAGATTGTTTCCACTTTTTCGCTCTAACTAATGATGCATTCTCTGCCCCATATCTTGGATTACTTATTTAGAGTAGGTCCCTGCAAGTGAACCATCGTATGCGTTTTAAAGCTGTTTCACGCACGGTAACTTGTAACCCCCAGAAAAGTTGCTCCCGCCGGCAGAGTAGAAGAGACCCTACTTCCACCACGCTTGCTGTTTTGCTTAATTGTTTGGAAAGACACACAGAAAGAAAAGTAAGAGCCTCACACACAGACTTCTGAGAGTGGACCTTTTCACTCCTCCTCCAGGACTCTGCAACACTGGACCTGCGTGGCATCGGGCAGGTGTTGCCGACCCACCTGATGGAGGAGCGGCTGATCCGGCAGCAGCAGGAGATGGAAGAGGACCAGCGCTGGCTGGAGAAGGAGGAGAGGTTTCTGGTAACTGAGTCTCAGAAAGTCCTTGCACCCCTAAGCCTCTGGAGTTGGCTCTACTGCAGATGATGGCAAACCTCATCTGTTCCAAAGCAGGAGCCTTTGTTTTCCATCTGCTTCCTAAAACTTGCAATAGTGGGTCGTTCGCTTTTCTTGAATTACATTTTCCGGATAAATTTCTAGGAGGTCTATAGTAGAATCATGGGCTCAGATGTAGAACCGTTTCTGTGGTTTTGTGTTACTGCCACGTTTACACAGAAACGACTCCCACTGAAGTGTCAGCTTGCACATAAGACACTGCCTCTCGTTACTGCAGGCACATGACTAGACGGCCCGGGGGCCCCGGGCTTGCCTTCCTGGGCTCCTCTGGTTCGAGGTCTGAGAGACGCAGACCTCCTGCCACATGCCTCTGGGGTTGTGGGCAGCAAATGTCTTCCTGGGACAACTCTTGTCGACAGCCCCTCAGAAGTCCCTGGGGATAGAGGAGCGGTGACAGAGTGGCCTGTGTGTGTCACGTGGTCCTCAGCCTTAGGACCCCTCCCCTGTCACCCTGCGCAGTTACTTCAGCCTTCCTGAAGTAGCCTGAAGAGAAGAAGGCCTGGACGGAGCCAGGACTCAGAGTGCTTCCGCAAAGCCCGTACCTGGCTGGTCCAGAGCTGGTCCCTCACGCTTTGACCATAAACATCCCAAGACCACCTCTACGTCACCCTCTGTGCTGAGGGACCAGACACTGATGAGGGGATACAACGCTGTTCACGCATCTCTGGAAGTCCTACAGGCACAGAAACATTAAATCAACAACCAGTGGTTTTACGAGACAGCGGTTCATCACCTGTGATCCTGATTTCATTCTTTATACGGGGCTTTCTTTTTGAAAACTGTAGTTTCAAATTAAACAAAGCAAGCTGTGCACAAGTTCGGTGAGGCACGTTTTAACCTCCCGGGTGGCCGCTGCCCCCGCTGCAGGGGGGTGAGGGCCGTCTCGGCGCGAACGGGGGCCTGGGAGCAAGTCACACTAGGTGGAGGCGCTTTCTCTCCTTTCTGTTCTTTTTCTTCTAAAATGGAGCCTGCAGACATCACACACACCCCACACTCATTTAACTGCCGGACAGGACTAATGCGCACAGCCCTGTCGCAGCTTAATGGTTAAGATCGCACAAAGTGCTTACCACGTGTCGCTCACCATCCTACATATTCCTCATACAGAAAGTCATTCAGTCTTTATAACCACCCTGTGGGGAAGAGACAGGTCCAAAATATTTTATCCGAAACTCTTGAGGGTTCTGTGTGCTACACTATTTTTTTGCTTTAGGAAGTTAATGAAGGGAATCCCCTGGCGGTCCAGTGGTTAGGACTCAGCGCTTTCACTGCCGGGGACCAGATTCAATCCCTGGTCGGGGAACTAAGATCTCGTAAGCCTTGCAGTGCGGCCAAAAAAAAAAAGAAAGAAAGAAAATTAATGAAATATGACGCACATGCTGTATATTATATAAGTATTCCAATAGCATACAGAGTTAAAAGCACTAACGCTCTTACAGCAAAACACAGGTGTTCACATTACCAGGTGTAAAGACAGCCCTCACATCAGGTCAGGTCAGGTTTTGCCACAAAATTAGTTTCCTTCAAGCTTAAAAAAAACAAACAAACTTACCAGTCTTTTAGTACATTTTAGATTTTGGAAACGAGGATAAAGGACAGTGTACCTATCCTTTATTACCCTCGTGTTAGAGATGAGGAAATTGCCCGAGACCACTGGGTAGCGTTGGCCGAGCCGGGGTCTTCGGTGCCCGCCACTCTGCCAGCTGGAGTGCCCGGCTGCACACGGCTCAGCACCCCCACGGACTAGTGCTCCTCTGCACGTGCATTTACTGTAACGTATACGAAATATCGCTGGGCGCTGTGAACCATTCACTTTTGAACAAAAGTTTCATCATATCAAAATTCTAAATTATTTAAATCAAAGCGTATCTTGAGATTATAAGGCAAGCGGCAAAAATTGGTTATTATTATTTACTATACTAATCTGAGCAAATCTATTTGGATATTATATCAGTTCCAAGAATACAGCTGCTGTTCCCTAGCCCTACATTTTAACCTTTTGTCTAGATAGCCTACTTTCCCGCATTGATTTGTATTTTAAAAAGGCAGTGTTACAGACTCTTCAAACTCGAGTTAGTATACGTAAATACCAGTGTCTGGTGTATGATCGCCCTGAGAGTGGAGGAGGCCGCGGCCGTGAGCTGCTCTGACAGAGCGCAGCCGGCGGCGAGAGCAGGAGGGGGGCCTGGGGGTGCCACTCGGGGTCGGGATGATGTTGGCGCCCAGGCCTCGAGATAGATTGGAATTTGCAGGGCAGACAGGCTCAGGAAGTGTGCTCATGCCTTGGGAAGAGCTTGCTGGTGGGGAAGGTGATCGGCCCAGGCCCAGGCTCCATCTTCCCAGCGATGTCAGGTACTCTGAATCAGAAACTGCCGGCTCATCAGCCGTAGGGGTTGTCCCTTTTAATTGAGATAATTTACATACAGTGGACTGCGCAGGTCTTAAGCGTACAGTTTGGTGAGTTTTGATAAATACATTAAGTCCATATAACCCATTCTCCATACGTGTGACATTTCTGTCACTCCAGATGGCTTCCATGCCACGTTGAAAATCCACTAATGAAGTCGTATAATGAACTCCCCCCGGGGAGTCCAGTCAGTGCTGTGTCCTGTGACAGCCTCAGTGTACCTGTCTCCTCAGCCTGGGACATTTCCATTTGTTCCTGATCCCTTTTATTTCTCCCATGTAACTTTATAATTTTCTCTAAGTCCGTATCTTCCCTTATTAAATTACTGCCCATTCATTTAGAGCTTCCCGTCACTGATAATGGTATCTCATTTTCATTGAACTTTTTAGTTGTTATTTCCGTATATGCATATGCAGTTGATTTTTAGGAAATTATCTTGTATGTAACAATATTTATCACATGAAATTTTTCTGACTGATTCCCTTGGATTTTTTCTATTCATGCACGGTTATCACTTTTTAAAAAACATTTTCTTTCTTCATTTTCAGTTATGTATCTCATATTGCCCCTGAAGCATCTCTTGCCAACTTTGTATTAAACAGGTTCTTGCCTGCTTTTATTTTTTTATTTTTATTTTTTTAAACCCCACATTTGTTTATTTATTTATTTTTGGCTGTGTTGGGTCTTCGTTTCTGTGCGAGGGCTTTCTCTAGTTGTGGCAAGCGGGGGCCACTCTTCATTGCAGTGCGCGGGCTTCTCACTATCGCGGCCTCTCTTGTTGTGGAGCACAGGCTCCAGACGCTCAGGCTCAGCAGTTGTGGCTCACGGGCCTAGTTGCTCCGCGGCATGTGGGATCTTCCCAGACCAGGGCTCGAATCCCTGTCCCCTGCATTAGCAGGCGGACTCTCAACCACTGCGCCACCAGGGAAGCCCATCCTGCTTTTATTTTTAAAGATAATGTCCGTAATAGTTTTCTCCATTAAGTATAATGCTGGCTCTCTATTTTTAAAATAACCTTTTTAAAGCTTTTAAAAGGCTTAACGTGATGAATTACATGAAGCATTTTGCTTGGTTTTATGCTGGACCCTCATTCCAGAGAGAAGTCCCCACTAAGTCGTGGTTGATGATCCTTTGAAGGTCCTGGTGTCTTTTGTTTGTGATGTTTTATTAGAATTTCCTATCAATCTTCATAAACAAGAGTGAGTTATTATTGTCATTGTTAATGGTTTCAAGATCAGAACAGTGTTGATGTCCTCAGTCGAATAATCCCTGCCCCATCTGCGTTGGCCGTTGGTCAGGCAGCCGGTATAGGTGGGGGGCTGAGAGCAAGTGAGCCGTCAGGACGGGCCCGGCCTCGGTGTGAGCAACTGGGTGAGCGAGCCACAGCGCCGCTGCCAGGGGAGGGAAGGTGAGGAGGTGAGGGCAAGTAAATGTCAAGGCTGGGGCGTCGTACATGGCATCTCTGAGATCCTGTCCCCTCCAAGCTGTGTTTCGTGCCGCAGCCGCGGTGACATTTCTACACCTCGGGTCTGATCCTGGCCTTCTCTGACTTAAAACCTCCCAGTGGCCGCCACAGGATGACCACCTGGGGCCCTCCATCCTTCCTGTCCTTGAGACGCAGCCCCTGTAGGTCAGCCCTGGTTGTGACAGAGCGGACGGAGCGCAGGGGAGGCCCAGCATGCAGGGCCATCAGGGCAGGCTGAGCAGCTGAAGAACATGCCAGGTTGAGGGCACACCGAGTGCAGGAGCCTAGGCTCTGGGGTCAGCTAGGGGAGGCTTCAAAATCCTAGTTACCGCGGCCCTACGTGAGTTGTTTAACCTCTCTATGCTGCGATTTGTTAATCTGTAAGATAATTATAATTTCCTCTGTAGAATGCAAGAATGCTTTTCTGTAGGGTTGAGTGGAGGATTAAATGTATAACGCATAGACAGTGGAAGGGATAAGGAATACACCATTAATTTTTCCAAGGGCTTTTAATCTCTCGTTCAGTTTGTTCTCTGTAGCAGGCAGGAGCGCTGCATTGATGAGAATCTAGAATCCTAGATCGTACACATCGCCCAGAGTACCTGCAGGCGGCTCCCAACCCGAGCTGAGTGTCATAGATGGGGTGAGAGATTTGAGCCAGTGTCGAAGGGGTTCTGCAAAGGAGCGTCGCTGGTATCACGCAGGAGCTGGACACCCTTTCACTGGATTTATTTGTTATCAGTGAACCTTAATTCGTTGTTTGTCTTTTGGGGGTTTTTTTCCCCCTTAATTCATTTTTGCTGTTGTTAGGGCTCCCTTAGGAGCCCTGGCTGTGTCTGACCGCCGTGTTTCCCCGAGGAGGCAGAAGCTGCATGCAGGACATGGAGCCCTTTAGGCCCAGGTGCTTCCCAGTGCAGGCTTCTCAAGCTGTCAGTGAAGGAGGACCCGTTTCTATTTTTTTTTCCTAAACCACCGTAGACCTGATACTCTAGTGAAATAAAATAAGAAGCAGTTACTAGAAAAAGGAAATTTTTA